CCCCCACTTTAAGCGTACATATCTATAATTCAACACCATCATACGCTTCAATTTTACGGTGTTCGGTGTTCTTACTAACATTCAATATCGAACAAAATCTAAATGGTAAATTAAAACATCGAACACAAACAAGAAAATCATTTTAAAATACATGTTTCCTCACCGGAGGTTTATCTCCAAACTAATAAACTACTGTATTTACGGGTTTCCGGTGCGCGTGATATTCTGTCCGATCACGTTTTTAACTTATAGGCTCGTTCGAGGTTGGGTCTTTAACGCTCACATTTACTGCCTCGTGCTCACAGACAAATGAGTCTTGTTTCAAATTAAACATTCACCTGCCGTGTAGTTGTGTGATGTTTGTTTGAAGAATGATTCAGTAAATATAGCTACGACTTGCTACAACGAGACAGTAGATTGTATTCCGTACTAGGACAAAATACCACGTGACACTAGAACCTAGAAGTCGTCTTTTGGATATTGGGAGAACGAATATTTTTTTTTTCAAAACACTGATCTGATAATTAATAAATATGCACATGGGCGGAAGTCTTTCCAGTTAATAAAATGCATTGTGGGTAACCATTTATCGAAGATTTGCATGCAGTGTATCCAACTATGCTGACCTGGTGATATTTTGTCTTTCAACAGTGCTGTGCGGTGAGGGGCATCTATTTCAGAATATCTGGTATGTACAGATTCTGTTTCTTTAGTCTGTCCTCGGAAACAATGTCCGTCCATGACGAATGTCTGCTTCCTATAAATAGTGTCGACTCTGTAACAAAACGAAAGTTAAAGTAAAATTGTTGTCAATTAGAGCGTGACATAACGTGAATATGGACAATAATCAAATTTTTAATTTTTTTGTTTACTTTTAAAGTTGTACTTTGAGATTTATCCTACAGTTTTATTCGGGGTTTTAGTCAAATATTATAGTTAATACTTCATTGAACGGAATGCGGCAAATATACGCGCTGATTTTCGGTCACACGAGCTTTTCGGCTTCCTATGTGATTGTTTAGTTAGAATATAGTTCCGTTCGCCGTGATTGGATTCACAAAACATCGTCTATTTTTTGAACTACAGTGTTGTATCGATTGTCTGTGAATACATAACAAAATGCATAATAAAACGATGGCAATTATCGAAGTTGATCAACGGAGTTTTACTTCGCTCTCTGTCATGTTTATGTACGAAATGCTTCGTCATATTTTGTTTAATTTCTATTAATTTTTCAAAGTTCATGAATAAACTGTTATGTTAACATTGAAATTCATTCGAAATATTTCGGCACAGATGTGGATTCAGTTGCGATTGTAACAACAATTTTGGGAAAGATTTTTTTAATTTATAGCTCAAAAATGTAAGGATGGACTCTCGTGAAATTGTCGGAAGGTGTCGCCATAGATACGGACAGATCAATGACAATTCAGCAGAGATTAAGAATTAGTTGTCGTGGAAGCAACCATTCCGGATTTGGATTTTCAGAAATTTCCAAGTCAGTTGTATTTGATGCGACGAAGAATG